AAAGAGTGCTTTAAATAGGCATGTGCACTATGTAAATTGTGTTTATGACTTCTGACTCCAAATATTTATTAAGCAAGTATGATGGGTGAGGACAAAGAAAATCTGAAACACGTTGCAGATGAATGAGAAGTCAAAGCACCATGAAAGAGGTCACAAAGTTCTAGAACTGAATGAATCAGAAACATCGCAGCAATTGCCACAACACAAGGTACGTTTACTTGTTTTTCTAACAAATAAGCTTTAAGTTTGAAAGCAAAAATGGTTCTTTTGCTTTCTGCCCAAGTGCACATTGCTTGTGCAGAAATAAAGGCATCTGAAACTCAGTCTTTTCATAAAAGGAGTAATCGAGCATGGATAGTTCCTACCGTACAGCAACTAGTCCTTTTAAGAAAGTGTTGGTTACATACAAATACAGGCTAAGGTGACAGTCAAGGACTCATGAAAGGCAAATACCAACTTCAGCTACGAAATATCTTAGGTTTGTATGCAAAGAAAAGCACCAGCTTTCAGTTTTTTTATCAAACTTAAAATTTGCCATTCTCTTCTAACTTGTCGTTCCACTAAAAGTCAAATAAGTTTAAGATTTTCTTTTTTAAATTAAGAACACCAAGACATTTTTATATTTAACACTTTTATTAATACAGTTTAAATTAGGCAGGAACCTGCAATTTTTGAATAGGCCACTTTAGGCTATTCATACAGCTTTGTCATAGCAAAAGAGGTACCTTAAGTTTGTATGTGAATGAACAATGTCACATGCTGTGATTATTCAAAACATAGTGCTTCAGTGAAAGTTCCAATATATTTTATACACAGTGATTATGAAAATAGATTTCTTCCATACAGTATTTTACTTCTGCCAGCTACAAAATATGATGAAGAAAAATAAATCATTTATTTCTCTAGCCCTAGGAATCTTTTCCCTCTACAACATAAACATCACTCTTAATGAAAGCGATGATGTGCGAGAAAGGACTCCAAAAATCCTAATGAAACATTTCCCTTGAACATACAGATGTATTTTACCAAGGACACAGTGTTGTCCTAGAGCCAAATCAAGAGGCCTGGGAATCTGGAAACAACAACAACAACAAAAAAACCCAATTCTGAACCACATGGCTATGGGATTTCGAGTCCCAGAAGTTCACATGATATGCCTGAGTCAACCCAACTTGAAAATAAGGGAGAATCCTGCAATTCCCCCATAGAAGTCATATATCGTTCCTAAACTAATGTTTCTAGATTAACGACAAAGCAGCATTTTCATAGTTACAAGTGAATCAATACAACTTCTGTTCAGAGGGCAGTAAATCCACACTGCAAGAAGTAAAAGGCAACCCACTGAAGCAGCTGTGGAAATTCAAACCACTGCTAACAGTGTCACAGTCTGCAAGTTTTGGGATACGTTTGCTCTTAACTTCCAGTAATAGCTGTATTTCCTTAGATTCAAGGTTAGTTTCAACTTTGGAGTAGTTTGAGTAAGCATCTGAGGTAATTGATGCACCTTTTTTGGTATAGTTTCTTCATGTGCTTTTTGATTGTGTATAAAATAAAAGTTAGATGAGGGCTCCTAGATTGCTACTGCAGCGGAAACAGCCTATTAAATGAAGTGCACCACTTTCTGCACTGCAGAAGTCATGTAGTTCCTTATTTGCTCACAAGTAAAGCAGTTGTAGCAAGGGGGCTTTGCCCCATGCAAGAGGCTTCCACAGCCACTTTAAGCAGGCCTAAAGAGGGATATAAGATTCGGCTGGGAAAGGGTTGTTATGCCTATGCTTTAAAGGATTCAGTGTACAAGCGTATTTGCATAGTACATTGAGGGAAACAGGTGCCATTCATGCATATAGTGGAGTAATGACAGGGAGGAAGAAGTATGTGCTGGGGCCCCAATGCCTATCTCTGCTTTGGTGACAGTAGTTTATATTTCTCTACATTTAATTGCCCACTAAGAACAAAATATCTGCAGGTACTCAAGCCTGGGAGCAGATAGGATATTTGAAAGCAAGATGATTTTTCTCACCCGCTGTGATACTGCAATATTCCACACTAGTTTGGAAAGGATTAAATGAGACATCCAATTTTTGAACAGTGTTGTCTTAGTTATAACAATCTGCTATGTACGTAAAGATCTTCTTTTTTTAAATGCAGATCTCTGCAACGGAAGGGACTTCCGCTGTGTATTT